TCTCTTGCCTTTCATCTTTTAAAGACTTTTCAGTCTGTAAAACCTTTTCCTTCTCTAATTCAAATAATCTTCTAAACTCAGTCAACTCATTCTCAGTCTTGTGGAACTTGTCAGTTAAATCCTTTGTGTCTGAATTGTTCCTTGGAGAATTCGTCTCAGCAATTAGTTCAATTTGAACTTTCTGGAGTTTGTTGTGCAAATCTTTATAAGATTGACTCCTTGATTTTCTTTCTTTGTCAAATTCTACAGTGATTTTATCCAAGGATTTGTTAAGTTTATCTAACTCATATTTGGATTCATCCTTAACTTTTTCTATCTTTTCTTTATATTCTCGATGCAAAGTTTYATTACATTTCWCATTAACATAATTCTGAAGTTTAAWRTTCTTTTCCAGCTCAGCATACTTTGCTCGCAATTCTTGATTCTCTTTCAAAAGAATATCTGCCATTAGAAACAAATTGATCAGTTAAGGATCTATGCAGTGAAATCAGCAAAAAAAATACGAACAGTTAAGCTCAAAAAGAAACCGAAAAACACAAACACTGAAAAACTCACACAAAAAAAATGTACAATGATCCAAAAAGAAAATCTAAACACAATCAAACTAAGAAACCAAAACACAACAAATATAAGAAAAAAAAATTAATGTCCAAGTCCAAAAACAAACTAATCCAAGCCCAAATACAATACAATGTACAATTATCAGCACCAGTCTAAAATATAGCTACAATGTATCTTTACTGATATGAACTCTCTTCAGAGTATGCTTATCTTCAACTTTTAGCTTCCCTCTAACTGCAGTTTAGACTATCGGAGTCTTCTGTACAAGTRCACTTTGTCCCACCTGAGCTGTGTATGATGAAACTTTGATGTACTTTGATGTACCTCCTTCTGTGAAGAAACTGAAACAAATGTCAAATCAGCAAATACTGGCTAGAGTGAATCTAGTCTGAAACAATCTTCTCTGTGTGATGAAACAAGAAACAAGCAATAAGTAAACAGTCTAAAGTGTACAACAAAAAAAAAATTTAAACTCCTCAAATCTCTAATTCCTTAAATTGAAATGCCACAATCTCACCAACAGCAATCAAGATGCCAACAGTATTGAACTCAAACGAAATTGAACCTGTCACCAAACAACTCAACAAACAGATTTTAAGTTGCTCAATCTGCTTAAAACTGTACGAAATCTCCTGTCATTACCTGTCACAATGTACAAAGAAACTGTCACCTAATGAATTGCCTCTGCTTTGCTCTTTAGTTCCAGTCCTGCTTTAGTTCCTCACAAATCTACAGTCCTCTTAGTATGCTTCTCACAAAAACTGCTACTGCTTAAACCTGCATAAGCTTAACAAATTAAGACCCAAACTGTTATCATTGTTAACAGGTTCACAACATGTATATTGAAAGCAAAACAGCAACTGCTTTCCAATGTGATTTATGCTACGAAACCAAAACCAAGACCAAAAACAGTGTAAAATCCTGCTGTTTTTTTGCTGTTAATACCACAGACCTGTTTTAAAACCTGTTGTCTGTTTCAAGACTTTCAACCTTGCAACCTGTTTTAAAAACTACTATTAAAACAGTTTAAAAACCTGTTGTTTTGCTACACAATGTCGTCTTCTTTCCAAGATTTGTATGATAAACAGGATGAAATCTGTCACCTGCACACTCTGCTTCAAATCTTAACCTCAAACTAAAAACAGAAACCAAAACAATGTAAGACCCTGTTGTGATCAAACTTGTGACGTGCACTTGAACTGTTGTCAAGACAGTCTAATCACAACAAATGAAACTTGAAACCAGTCAAGACCTTCTTGCAGTGTAGCTATGTAACAGCTTCAAATTTCACCTGCTGTCCAATCTGCTGTGTTAATCTGATGAATGCTGCTGTTAAGACTTGCAATCTGTTTTACCTGTTTGTTAATCTGCTGTGCTGCTGCAGTTTGCTTAAACCTGTTTTACCTGCTGTTTACTACTTCCAAACAAAAACAGTCACACTCAAACTATCAAGGCAAAAGAATAAACCTGCTGTTACCTGTTAACAGTGGCTACAAATCTGTTTTAAACCTGTTGCTGTTTTAGTCCTCAATTTAAGTCAAGACATAGCGATCAATTTGCACAATTACCAATCAACAAATAAGCAAAACAAATAGAAATCCCTTAGAACTGGTAAACCAAACTCAATTATGCCATATGCATCATGGATTGTTGCTGCTGTCTAATTGATGTCTAATTGCTGTCAAAAGACTTGCTGTATTAATTCTTGAGAAGCCTGTTGCTGCTGTTGTGTCTTGTTGCTGTTAAAAAGAATTAAGTTTGCTGCTGTCAATATCCGTAAACAGCTTCAATGTTGCTGTTACTGCACGAAAACAACGTAAAACAACAAACTGTTTGAAATCAAATCACAAACACAGCACAGTTGTTGATGTTGCTGTTTTGTATATGCTATTGCTGTCAAGATCTACAAACTTTATAGCTATGAACAGTAGCTGTTTTGAATTTGCTGCTGCTATCTTGTTTCTTCTCAACACCAACGCAGCTAGTTGCTGTTTTAAACTGCACTAAACAACTATACGAACTGCTATGACTCTGTTGCTGCTGTCTTTCTTTGCTGTCGAAACACAGCACAACACAAAATCAAGTTAAAACAGTTTATATAATAGTCAATAACTGCATGAATAAAATTTGGTTAATGCAAGAATGAAATCTCGTTATAGCACAGCAGTCAATACACAACAAAACCAGCTTTCAAGAGTGCAACAGCCGCAGCTTACTGCTTATTGTATGCTACCTAAACCTGTTGTAACAGACAGCTTACAGACAAAGCAAAACAGCAATACCTCACTGCACAAACTGTTAAAACAGACATCCTAAATCGCTCACCAGGTTGCTCACAGTCCGCTCAAGAGTTCTTGATCCGATCAAGAAAAGTCTTAAATCGCTCAAGAAGTGTTCTTATTCGCTCAATAGCTTCTATCCTGTTGCAGTCATCCAAAATCAAACTAATCTCCACAGAATCAAAAACAAAATCAAACTTGTTTTTGTGTTTTTATACCAAGATCAACAGCACAGACCAAGACAGTGAATTCAAGACAAATATTAACAAGATCAATTGTTCGATTTATATATCCAACCCGGATGTTGACCAAATTCAAAACCGAAAATGTAAAACCTTCATTGCTGTGTTCTTGAAGGTTAGTTGTGTTCGATTCAGATGAGACAATTGGATTGCTTGCGAAGCGACTTTAGATTCTTAAAACACAGACAAAATGAAATTGGACAAGGGTTTCCAAAAACGAGTGATGTAATGAACGATTTAAGAATCCGTTGATGCTATGATCGGATTAGACTTAGAAAAAAAATAAGAGCTTTACCTGTCGATCGAATCCAAACACTATCCGCTCAAATTTGATCGGTTTACCTCTCCGCTCGTGTGGTGTGAGGTTTAGAATACCGCTCAAGAATTTGATTTGTGCAAAACGTCCGGTTTAGGAATCCGTTCAAGAAATCCGGTGAAAGCTTCTACGGTATAGATGAACACCGCTTAAGTATTGTGCGGTGTAGATGAACACCGCTTAAGTAGTGTGCGGTGTAGATGAACACCGCTCAAAATCCGGTTAAGGCTCCTTCGGTTTACCCTTATCAGTTCAAAAATCAGTCTCTTAAGCCTGCAATTTAGATATTTGTGTGATGAAGATGAATCATGAACAGAAGCTAAGGAATAAACCTGATGGGCTTTGCAGATAGGCCTTTGACCTGGACGGATTAACAAAATTTAAAACCAAATTCAAAATAAAACTAGATCAAAAACTATTAAAAACACAAAAACAAAAAAAATTTAACAACAAAATGGATCAAAAAACACTGATTTACGAAAAAATTCAAGAACATGAAAAAAATTAGAACACAAAAACCGATTAAATCTTGATTAAAATTGATCAAAACATAAAAGTTTGTGAATAACAAAGATTCACAATGCAATTTCGAGCATTTTGATCCTGTTTTTAACGCAAAACACAAGATTTTATGAGAAAATCGGATCAAACAGAAGAAAAAAAATCAAAAACACGAAGAACACGAAGAACAAAAAAAATTCAGAAATTAAAAAAAAACTTATCTGATCGATTCCTTCAATCTGATTTCTTGCATCCTGCTCTGATACCAATTGTTTGTCCACAATCACTGATCAATCTTCATATTAAGCTCACATCAATGGCAGATTCATAGATTTATCATTAAGAACACTATRAAYATTAWGAACATTAATATGAATATTGAGAGAGAAAGTCAATCCTCTCAATTCAGTCAAACCTCTTATTATGAATCTAAATATTACAATTGAGCTCTCTTACCCTAATTACAAAGATTACCTACCTATTTATATGGTCAACATATTAATACAAAGTCAAAGTCAAACTAGTCTAAGAAAGTCAAACACACTGACTTTTACAATAAAGGCTATTTATAAACTTTCAAGACGAATACAATTAATACTGATTTCTCAATCCTAACAAGTCAGCACTTCTAAAATTAGATGGCCTACCTCATCAATGGAATCATACAGATTAACATGACTTTTAAGCTGAAAGAAGAGATAGCTTGCATATGCCACCAACATTATGCAGCTACTGAATCTTGAAAGTGCCAACTCTGACTTCCCAAAATGAACTTCTGTGTGTGTAAAATGAAGCACAACTGGAAAGAGTATGCCCATTACAGCCATTAACAGCAGCCCTGAACTAACTATTGCAGCTGTCTGTAAAACATAATTAGACACAAATGAGGGATTCCATTTTTGCTTTTGCTGGATTTTTACATGGATCTAGATTCAAGAATATCTCCACCATACCATGATCATAAYAATATTACAACAATACAACATATGCTTTACAAAGTGTCTGCTAYGACTACTTACCATCCTTTTCACATAACAATACCACAGTCCCCAATAGAACAACAACTTTTTCTTTCTTGGGTGCCATTGTCAAGTTAAACGACCAATTTGCCCCCATGTAACCAGTACAAAGTACTTGGTGCTCATTTTAGTTATGAGATTTGTCCTTGTAAAGGGTAATCAAGTACTCTTACTTACAAGATAGGCATCGGACTCTAAGTCCAACTAGATTCTGGAAATAAATTTCCTAATCGCAGTTGAGCCAAGTCAAACACTAAGATTCTAGTGAAATGGAGGGGATAAAAAATAATAACTGAGGCCASAATCCACCCATTCCATGTCAACAAGTGTAGATAACATATACAGAGAATCATGCAAGTGAAAACCAAAAGAAAGGAAAAGTGGGTAATTCATGTACTTTATGAGAAGCATTTGTCTTTCTGATTCAGAGGAGATGAAATCATCATTCTCTCCAGCAATATACTGAGGTGTTCTCTCCTGCTGTTTAGAATGTGGTACCCTCATCAGTTCTTGGCGTTCCCCGATCTTATTTGAAATGCTTTTGCCATTTAAGTCTTTCCCACCCACTGCTTTCTTCACATTTCCCACCTGATCCAATAATGAAATTCAACAGAATTATATAGGTGTTTAAGAGAAGGAACATGAAAATGTACATTCAACCAATGATGGTAAAAAGCAAAGCAAAGTAGGTTTGACAAAAATATTTTTATGAGGTACATAAAGAACCTGAGTCCGGGCAATGCTGGTCCATCTCCTTCTTTTTCCAAGCTCAACTTCATTGATGCCAAACCATGCAGGATCTCTTGTTGTAACCGAAATTGTCTTCTCTAACTCATCTACCTTCCTATCAGGAAAACAACATTCAGGAAACAAAACTAAATGCATTTATAATAGGCCAATAACAATGATGATCATCATATTGGAACCACTAAAAACTCCACTGAGGAAGGTCCATAAATGTTTAATATTGGCTAGAGATCAAACATGGAAATAGGTAAGTGCAATCAATAACCATAGATAGTAAAGGAATGAACGTAGGCTTAGAAGAGATGGTGTTAATTAGTTAGCACCCATTTAGAGTTGCTGTGAGTATGTATTCAACTTATTTTTGCACAACCACCCTAGTCTTATTTTCGAAAGTAAATATACCTGCCATTCAATGCTATCACARCTTCCAAGGAGCTCCTTTGTAAGATGCACGTGATCTTCGCTGTTGGCAGGGACGTTTTCCCATTGGTGAAAAGTAAACTGCAATTTGTCATCTGACCATGAAATATTATCAGATGATTTAACACGACTGCAGAAAAAACCACAGGGATATAGATATAACTTATAAGTACCTATATCATTCTCGTGTATTATCATTCTCGTGTGCAGGACAATATTTCTGGGACCAAAATGGGTGGCATCGATACTCAATCAACCCARTTCCGTTYGTGGGAATCTAGAAAAGCAKAGATAATAATATTACACAYRCTTMCARTAAWAGTCTTTCTAGAGAT